TTCATTGTGATTCAGCGTCTGGGGTCACTGTGATAGAAAAACACTCCGAATATTTTCAAGTACGTTTTGGAGTTAGACAGAGTTGCATGTTGAGCCCGATTATATTAGGCCTGCTGCTTGACGACCTCACATCTATGTTTGAGTGTAGCAGGGAACGGATTACGTTACAACAACAGTTATATTTTACCCGAATGACATAGATACAATGGTAGACATGGCGCGTAGTCTACAAACGAATATCAAGTTGCACGAAGCTTTTTGTGACCGAAGAGGTGCGTTTGAACTTTAAGGGAGAAAAAATAGAAATTGTTAAGAGTGTCTTCCTCACCCTCAGATTGCAATGGTTACAACTAAGAAGTAGTAAGCAAGACGTGGGCCTCTCTGATCACTTAAGAGGTTATATCATTAAAACTGAAGTTTGAAATATTCAACTCATTGTCAATGCGTTATTCAGTCTTATGTTACGGGGTTATAAACAATGATGAAATATAAAAAATTCTAAAATTCCTTATCGGTAAGTTTATCACTTTCCTTACTCCAACGACGAATTAAATTATTTACATAGAAATATTGCCCGATCTATTGTAAAACCACACCTTAAAGCTTTACTTTTCTTCATTCTTAAAACTTTACATTTTTCAGATTCCAGGCTTGTAAAAATAACAGCGTTAGAAGTCAAGAGGACCAAGCCTTCTTTGCCCTGGCACACGAGCAATCTCTATTCCAAAAGTATCGCCTAACTATCCCAACTAATACCTTGATAAAAGGCCAGACCTCTATCCAGTTTTGTTTTCAGCAATAAAATAGCAACAACGGACCAAATGCTTACTCCTCATATAATATTTTGGTCATTTAAATATTTATACAATAACATTTACATAGTTTACTAAATTAAAAGAAAAAGCGTCCTTAAACTTTCTGACCAAATAGAGAGGCATTAAAACAAAATTGATGGTCTGTAAAAATATTTTATGAGTCTGGGGTTAAGATAATCGTTAAGAAGAGTATTTCCCAAATTTTTTCCCAAGATAAACAGTATACTTACCGGCCTATAATAATCAGTACAATCTATTGGTTTTTTTAGTATACAGAGGATTCGAATAGTGAAGTGTTTCCAACATATAGAATGTATGAAGCACCGAATCATATAAATATAGAAGAAGTTTGAAGGTGACACGATAAACATTTTTTGTCCATGCTGCGAACAATGTTTCGTTCGCTTTGAATAAGGGTATCCTAACGCAATAAAGCTTGAAAGAGGGTCTGACGTAGGGGTTGTTTTAACCCCAGTTGCACTTTTATTTCTCTCCTGGGACGTCCTTAGGAGTGTTTATGGGCAGCCTACACTTTACACCTGTTGATAGACCCTTAACCGAATCTCCGCCACGAAAATAAAATACACTCATCCAATTGTGAGAAGAGTTATGGTCGAAAATGTCCAGTTTTTAACTAGAGAATTCAAAATAAAAGAAATTAAGAAAATTGGATTGTTTTGGTAGTGAATGTATGACATTATTTAATATTTTACACATTTTATCTTTTGTTTGGACGTTCCTGTTTAATTTGTCAGTTTTGAAATGTTTTGAGGAAAATAGAGCAACAGAGGAGGGTGATAGAATAATTTGGTTATCTAACCCAAATCCTATTCAAGCAACCTCCAACATCCAAAACCACACTCTAAGCTAATCAGAGATAGGTGCAAAAACTGGAAGAGAAGACTGGTTAAGGAAAAATGTACTCTGTGTATATGTACATTGAAAAAAAACCTTGTCCTCCACTGAACATCTCCTACAAGAAGCTACCAACTTCCAACTCAGATCCTCAATTTGTACCTAGATACAGAATGACATGGACCACACAAAACTCTTTCTCTCTGAGCTGCCAACACCACACTCGTTCACTCTCGTACTCTCTCTCTCTCTCTCTCTCTCTCTCTCTCTCTCTCTCTCTCTCTCTCTCTCTTTCTCGTTCTCCCATCTTTTCTTGGCGCTTACGCATTAGTTTACGAGAACTGCCTGTTATGATAGTTGAGCATACAAGTTAAGCCGTGAACGTGAAATTGGTCTAACTGGAAATGTAATTGATTTAAGATAGATATTGACAGACAAAAAAATTCCACCCACTTTTTTTTGTTTGTCTATGATATTGTATTACCCATGTATCAAATATATACATATATTTTTTTTTAAACATGATACCACCACCACTTAGCGAGGCAGGTGAGAAGAGACCCGAGCCGAAGCACGCGCCCCATGTTACATGTCTACCTTTAAATTACACCTCAATGCAACTTTCCCTTATGAAACAATAAATGAAATGGTATATGTCTCTTCTCCCAGATGTAATTAAAGTTTCCAATGAAAAAGGTCTGGCCTCTCCAACCAAGGATTCGATGTCACTGATGAGATTCTGTCTCGTATCCTCGTATTCTGGGCATTCCATAATTATATGGTTCATGTCCTCTGTACAATCGCAGGAAGCACAATTGTCAGATTCTCTCAGGTCAATCTTATATTTATGAGCACCCCATAAGCCATGGTTGCTTCTGATCCGTATGATTACTGTATAGAAGTCGCGAGTTGTCCTGCATCCTTGAAACTACGGTGCCTTGGGAACCACGGGAATCTGGAACAATACCCTGCGGAGCCATTATGAAATTCCTGCCACTCAGATAGCCAACTCGCATTGAGTAAAGTCTATAATCGCTTTTTGTATATTTATATTCGCAGAATTCCTCTGTATCGATAGCCTGTTTCACCTTCACATCTACCAGCTCATTCCCACGGATCCCTGAATGCCCTCTAATCCAGCATAGAGTTATATTTTTTCCGCTGTTGACCAGTTCCCTTGTACTATAACTACTTCCACCCACTTGTAATATAACTTGATTTATATATATTTTTATATATTATCAAATTTTCACTTTTTTAACGTTTTATAATTGAATCTTTGTATCTTTGTCCAAAAAAGTAAAAAAATGTAAATTGCTAAGGAAAATGAAAAATGAAGGACAGATAAATTTTTTTGTAATTTTGCTTTAGATTTTTAATTATGATTTCAATATCGCGTATTTCCTCCTCTTGCCTTAATTACATCTCGAAGATGCTTCGGCATACTTTCTACCAGTCTGGAAATGTCTCTTTGCTGGAGGTCGCCCATTCTTCATGAAGAGACCTTTCAAGTTCGTGGAGTGTAACAGGACGTGCTCTTATTCGTTTATTGAGGTTATCCCATACATATTCGATGGGGTTCAAGTCTGGAGAACGGGCTGGCTAAGACCCTGATGTTATGCTGTTGAAGCGTTTGTACTATGCGAGCGACGGGCATTATCGTGCATTAGAATAGGATTGTCGCTGATTTCATCGAGGATAGGCAACACATGATGTTCCAAAATTTCATCCAATTGGCGAGTGGCCGTCAAAGACCCTCCACGAACAACAACCAACTCTGTGCGACTCTCCCGAACGAAATTCCCGCCTCACCGTCACTGGGCTACGTTGAAAGGTTGGCTCTGGGAAAAAATACAGGCTTCGTACCTTTCATTTCTCCTTCCCCACACTCTTTCAAGCATATCTGGCGATCGTAGAGAAAATTTACACTCGTCTGTAAAAAGTACAACAGACCATTCGTCCAAAGTCCAATGGCTGTGTTTTCGAACAAATGGAAGCCGTGCAACTCTGCGTGCTGTGGTAAATCCTGGTGCTCTTACTGGGCGAAATCACATGCTGATTTAATCTTCTTCGAGGAGTGCGTTCAAAAACTTGGACACCTCGAACTTCCTGGAGCTGATGAATCGCTCGAACTACAGTAAGGTGCCGCAATATTCACAAAGTCAAAAAACGGTCAAGCTGTGCTTCTGTTACCCTACGGCGTCCAGAACCGGCCCTTCTATGGTAGGACTCAGTTTTTCGAAAACTTCTAACGGCTTCTCGCAGAGTTTCGTATGGAACTACCGATGGCAATAGCCGCATACCTGATAGATCATCCATCATCATAAAGTGCCACACTACGCGCAACATCCTCAGCATTAAGTGGCATTTTTAAGTTTAAAAATTGAAATTAAGAAACAAAAGATGAAAACTAAACAGTTTATTCAGAATTCAAATGAGATTGAATAACAGTTTTAATTCAGTAAAAAGTAAACGTTGAAAAATCCTTTATCCTTGTTTTGGATAAAGGATTAAGTGTGTTTACCTCTAATTGATATTCCCAATTTAAAACATCGCATAAACAAATATTTATTGATAAAAGCAATGAGACAAATTAAGGGCAGAACTTTCTTTTGTCGAGAAAATGAAATTGGGTGGAATTTTTGCTTGTCAGTGTGTATATGTATTGGGTTGTCCGGAAAATAATGCAGGATTTTAAGTTTTCATTAAAAAAAATCTATATAAAATATTCTGTTTACGTTTACAGGATTACTCATTNAGAGAGAGAGAGAGAGAGAGAGAGAGAGAGAGAGAGAGAGAGAGAGAGAGAGAGAGTGAGGGAGAGAAAGAGAGATCTTTAATATTCTACTAAGAATATTCGGATGGATGTTAAAGTTTGTATATAAGGGAAGTCTCGCCGTTTTTAATATTGTTGTAAATAACGATGATATTCTGTCGTCCAGGTCTGCCAGAAACGTGATATACCGGAGGTTACAAAACGAACCTTCGGTTGAAATCAGATTGGAGTTTAATGGAGCGTCACGTCAGTTTTAATGAGGTATGTTGTCTCTTCGGCGACCGTAGCCACTTTGTTCACCCCCTGGGAACCGGCCGTGGTTCCTCTCCCCCTTTTACACCATTAACGTCTCGGTTTGTCGTTTTAAAGTGCAATAAAATCTTTGTGTAAAATCCCCGTTGTGAATTAAAAATCTCTTGCAATATGATTTTCTGCCTAGATTTTGGAATCTTACCTCATCCCTGCGATACGAATTCGAAAAGAACCGAACCACATTTTGCCCAAAGTTAAAATACATTTATAATTAAAAGCAATAAATTAAGTTACATACGTACAGATGTTGTGAACTCTAATTTGGCCATTCCCATATTACACCTCATACCGAATGAGATTACAAAACCTGAAATAGTTTTTAATTATTCAAGTGGCGATTATTGCTAACTCTGTTCTGTCCACTTACCTACACATGCTAAAACTGCGACAGTGTACCTCTTGGTGAGGCAGGGGCACTCCGGCCTGATGTATTTGTCGATATGCCTTGGAGGCGGCCTCTCAGGCTCTGGCCAAACCTCTTCTTCCTCGTAGGTGCTGGAAAAAGATTATAAAAGAAAAGTAGTCGCAACATAAGAATTTTATTACAATGCCAATTAAAAAAAAGACGATTACGCCGGTATTAAACTATTCAAAACCGAACAGAAATTTAACATCTATTTAAATGGCTGTAAATGTAAAATTGGTGGTTGATAGACTTTTAACCAATATTGGATAATCTGAACAGTTAGGTACTCACCCAGTAGCAGGTGCTCCATCTTTTCCAAGGTCGAATTCCTCGTACCTTGTATTTCTGAAAAACAAAACCACCAATAAGCGTTTAATTATTATTTTCCCTTGCCTTCAGTTAAAAGTGTGTAAGGGACAACAATAGTGAAGATTTAGGAGCGAAATGCAGCCAACGGCGGTGCCAATTAACGAGTCTAACTCGAGTATTGTCTGGTAAATTGGCTGTAGAGGAGATGCCAACGGCAGGGGTGCACACCCCTCTTTCTTCACAATCATACTCGTAGGTGCTCTTCGAGGACGACGAACCGTCTTATTAAGAAAACCAAATGGAAATGGAATGGGGCTCATGACTCTCTAGTTCGGCATTCTATATCGTCAATTTTAAGGAAAGGAATACGACTTTTTTTCATTTTAAGATCACTGACAGGATGTAATTTGCCCAAATTCCCCCCTTTCCAGGATCCACAGTTTTTATCATATTTTTGGGAGACCTGCTGTGTAGTTAGTAGAGCAAAACATCGGGATATGCACAATAAAATGAAGAAATATTTTAACCTAATCTAGAGTAAATTTCCAAATTTTTAAAACTTTTAATTATATACAATTAATTATTCTTTTTATGTAAGATGTTGGCTGAGATAAAAAAGTCAGTGTCACGAGTGGCATTCGAACTAGTATAGGTTGAGCTGGAGAGTTGGTGTCCGAGAGATCGAACTCACGATAGTGGTAGAGCAGCGTCGTATTTAGCCGAAGGTCGTGGGTTCGAATCCCGCTCGTGACACTGACTTTTTTATCTCAACCAAGACCTTAGATAAATGAAATAGTTAATTGAAAGAAGTAACTTGGTCAATTGACCATTAAAACATAAATGGACTTTTAATTATAGTTAGGACATTAAGTGACTCAATGAAAGAATTACTTTTTTTTAGGGTCTGCAGGGTGATGAATATGTAATTTGGATCATCACTCATTTGAATAAATAAGTAGTACAATTGTTGATTAGTATGCTCATAAATTTCTTTGTGTGGACTGTGATGTACTAAGTAATCAATTTCAAGTTATTTTTGAGTTTCCACTCTTTTTATGCGTCCACTTGCATCATTATCTCTCATATATTCGACATTTTTCGCCAACTCGCATGTTTATTTTATAAATGTATCGTTTTTGACCGATGTATGTCAACTACGTTTTCAAATTGGCAATCAGTATTTTACAGCAATGTTTGGCGATCGATATATTCAAATCGATTTTTTCAGTCCATAATTACATCGATGTTTGCCAAATATATTTCGAATTGGCAATCGATATTTTACGTCAATGTTTGACATTTGGTATAATCCAATGGTTTTTTTTGTCGGTCCATTATGACATCGTTGTTTGCAAAGTATATGTTCAAATTTGCAGTCGATATCGTTTTTTCTCACGATTTCACGTGAGTTGGTGTTGATTTGTATGTTTATGAGTTTTTCGTGTTGTATAATTGTGAATGTAAATATTAGTAAGTTTTCAAGCATATGCTAAAATAATTGGAGCGATACTAGATAACTTATTTACAACAAATATATTAATTACATTCACAATACATATATTTACAAATTTATTTTTGCAAAAAATGTTTAATTTTATTATGATTTTAATCTTTGGAACAAAAATTATGAGATGAAAACTTTTCTTTGGAAAATGTCTTTCAAACAAAAAGGGTCAAAGGATATGGAAGAGACAAATTCCTGACTAATGAAACACTTACAAATACAGCTAAAATGTTTGATGAATTCAAACAAATTAAATCTGTTATAATTTTATTTAAAATGAATACGTTCAAAAAGACAAAAATCGTCGTGCATGTTCATCCCGTCGGAAATTCCCTTAAAAGAAATAGGCTTAACATTGATTTTGAAATTTTTATGGAGGGGCCGGTTTCAGAGGGAGCGGCAATAGGGAAGTACTTACCACTAAACCCCTTATTGCTAAAAGGATTAGCGAAGAGACAAAAAAGAGAACAAAACCAATTTTGATAAAATTTCATAATAATACAACAGTCCCTTAGAAGTGTTGTAAATGAAACAACCAGAGATAATAATTTTTTAAGAATCCGTAAAATCTCAATTATGGGCATGAAGTTTGAAAATGGCCTGAAAGCTTACAAATTTGTTATATTTATTTTTTCGAAGAGTTTTTTTTAAAAGATCTCTTTCCATTTAAAAGAAGAAAGGGACGTGATGAACAACTAAAACTACCCTTAGAAATTTATCGGATTCGTAAAGCCAGACACTTTGAGGAAGTGTGAACTTGTTACAAGTTTATAACGTACTTTATACTCATTTAATGTGACATAAAAGTCCATTTCATTAGAGTTCGTAACAGCAGAAATAGCAAGGAAGAAATGTTTGAAAAGAAGGTTAGCATTGTGACGATCTGGAACTATACAGCCACAGATTGACCTGTCCCCAAAAAATAAAAAGGCACAGAAAAACAAGTTCCGATTTATCCTAGGGAGATAAAATAATATAAAAGGAAAGTTAAATACCGTCCCCAAAAAATTTATTCAAAAGAATATATAGTTTTGGAACTGCGGTAGCCAGAGGTTATCGTGCCAGACTTGGCTGTAGAGTCCGCGGTCATGGTTCGATTCCCACCGTCGCCCCTGAAATTTTCGACCTGCTCCCTTCCCAATAAAATTAAGATATACTACATAAAGGAAAGCATAAAGCTGTTTAAAGCAGGATTATTTTGCAATGTTTGGTTTTCAATTGTTGTCAAGTTTAATAGAAAATTTTGCTTTGAATAGCATTAGTGAAAACAAAATCGTAACGCCACTTTTAAACTAGAACTATGTGAGAATAACTCACCCAATGGTCAACCTCAAAAAGAATCACCAGTACTCTACTTAAATCATTGTTTTCATGCTTTTCACTGGTTATTAATCTGTGTGCTTCATATGGCCATCAGCGTCTCAGACGATGGGGTTGATTATCAGACATGTTAGTGGCATTGAAGATCAGGGCGTTTTGTACGCGTGGATATGGACTGATTTTTGCTTCGGCTAGAAAAAGGGAACACTGATGGCTCGATATAGCTGTATGAAGTTAACAATTTTAGTTAAGACGTTTGATGCAATCATTGGATGAAATGGGACACCCACAGTTCGTTATCGTAAGTCCAAATAAATTTACTAGGGTAAAAAAAGTAATATTAATAGTTTGTAAAGTATGTTAGTACATTCCGTTTCAGTCTTTTTTGTGCTCACTCTTTTTAATAAGATAGTTTCTACTTAGTTAGTTGTTTTTAATGATCCGGATTTCAAGCTTATTGATCATCTTCAGGTTGAAGGAGTTTACAATCACGTCTTTCGACATGAAGTGAAGAGTCTCTTACATTTTATGTTGAGAGACGTTGTTGTAAACCCCTTCAAATTGATAATGAGCTATAAGCTTGAAATCCGGATCGTTGAAAACAACTAACTGTGAGTAGGAACTACCTTTTTAAAAAGATTGAACAACACACTCACTCCACTATTTATCATTTCTATGGATGTACTTATTCTACGTATATCATTAGTTTATGTAAAGGCCCAAATTAACGTACTTGTGCCTCGAACTAAAGCTCGGCTGCTTAGCTACTGAACTTGATAAATCAAGTTTCTCGCTTAGAATGAAGATATATATATATANATATAAATGCTTATTTTTATATATAAGTATATATTTATTTATTTGTTTTTTTTAATGTAAGACTTTTTTTTTTTTTTGAAATGGCAATATGGTTCATAATTGTATACACAACAATATTTCATTGTTTTCCTTACATCAACAAGCCCTGAGGGGCGTAGGTGGTCGCAACGGTTTAGGCGTTGACAGGCGTTCATCACTGTAAGGTAAAGGTCCCGGGTTCGAATCCAGCGGCCCTGCATTCAAACCCGACATACTTACAAATGGGCTTTTTTTCAAAAACACCGGCACCCTGAGGGTTTATATGACCTCTGATGTTGCGAACCCTCATAAAAATAAATAAACAAGGCCTGAATTTTTTTCTCTTATTTTTGATTTCTTTTTGGGTTGACATCCGGCAGACATCTTTCAGGATTATTGTAGAATATGATTAGAAAGGATTACTGTAACATATGAAAAATTAGATATAATTGTGCTTGGGAGGACAGGAATATTATACTGGTAATATCGTGTCAAGGATAGGATCAAGAATGATCCCTTGTGAGACACCAGCATAGACGGGTTGAATAGGCGATATAACCCTGTATAAGTCTGAAGTATAAATCAGATTGATACGATTTTAGGAATAGGTAGTAAGAGTAGCGTATTTAGTTCTTATCGAAAGCGATATCGAGGATTTCAGTTAGAAAAATGATCCTCTAGTAAGGAGGGGTTGTTAAATCATAAGCCTGCTACAATTTGATCGTTTGTGTCAATACGCTGCGTTCAATTTTGTGCCATATTTTCAATTCCACTCTTAAAACTTCAAACTGATTCGTGAAAGAGTCATATCATAAATTTTAAAATATTTATAGAACTTGAACGTATCCTTCGGGTTTTACGTCCTTCCCGTTGTGATAATCAGCGTTGCGAGACAGTGTCGTCTCGCCATGGGGGGATGTTGCGGGGTGGCAATATGGGAGATATTTATTAGAGGGCCCCTTGTTATTGGGGATTCGCGACGGATTGTTACCCAAGAGTTATGGGACGATCTCTCTCTCACTTCTGATGCATTTTTCATAAAGCCATTACCTCCCCTGCTCCTTCCCTGGCCGCTCAACCACGTCTTAACTTACACCCTCTCTCCCTTTTGTATTAATTATAACGGCCCTCTTATAACCAGGCTCTTCAAATCTATGCTAGAGGATAATTTGTAAAGAAATAAACTGTGCCGGTGTGAGTCAGAAAATAATAACGTACTTAAAACAACTAGGAAAATTAGCTAAAATTTATTTGATCGTCCGATATGTTTTAGTTTATAATTTATGTACAGTAATAAATTATATAATTAGATTATTGTATCCAGTATTTAATATTAATTTATATCACTTACTTTTATGTAAAAAATATTAGTTTT